TCGTCAGCACGTCATCCACATCATCGACCGTTAAAAACTTCTAGAAATCTCTTCACACTGACACTATTTTCCTGATGTTTATCAAACGAAGAATCAATTTCGAGAAAGAGAAAAGAGAATTTACACTTCTTTCTGCAAAAAAAGTGAAACGAAAGAATGAACAAAACTCTTTCGACAAATTCGATCACGATGCTGATCACCTTCGAGAACGATACGACATGAATCATAAAGAGCTCAAACAAGAGCGTCATTGCACTTCATTTATATAATTAAACTTGAAACAAACGACGCGATAATTATATTTTAAAAAAGCGTCGCAGCTCGTTAAAAATAAATTGAAAACAAATAGCGATTCTCGTTCGATTTGTTTATTGTATTCGTGATCAGGTATATTAATCACGAAAATTTTCTAAAACGTATACAATATATATAAAAAGATATAACTTCTGTTAAAATATATATAGAGAGAGAAAGAGAGAATTTTGGCACGAGCGCTCGAAACCAAAGTACCGAAACCACGAAATGGAATAATGAAAAATCCTATGAACGAAAACTAGAGAATAAAACAATAATTTTCTAAAAAAAACTGCACATTGACTTCTAGAAGAAGGCGTCATCGACATCCACGTTGAATCGTGTTCGATTATTTTCAATCGAATCCCATCACAAAACTCCAACGATATAAAGTGAAATACAATTCGATCAAAAAAAAAAAACTGATGAGACGATTAATATTCTCCGATGGAACGTTTGCGAAGGGATAAAAGGGAGAAGAAATCGAAATACGACGTCAAGTGATGTTGATATCGGAGTATAACGATAACTCGTTGAGGGAAGAGGTGGTTTACTCACCCTGTAAGGCGGCGACTAGAAGGGCCAGGAAGAGGCCCACGAAGTACGCGGGCCGTCTCAGCCGCGAGCCCGTCATCTCGTTTCACTAGGCACTACACGATGAGCCAGGGCTGGCAGCTCCTCTCACTCGATAGTCGCCTTCGACTCAAACTCGCCCGCGAGGAACTGGCATTGTCACTACCGCCAAACCCTGAAGACGCCCCTCTACTTCTCACCCCACAGTCGAGAAACCACGCGAGCCACCATTTTCTCGTTTTTTCCCGCCTGATCCGCGGGATCCCGTCCGTGATCTTCTTGGTCCTTGTGCAAGCACAAGTGGCAGGATGCGAACGTTTTCTTCCTCGTTAGTCGGGTGAAATTGGAGGAGAGACGGAATCGAATATTCGATTAGGAGAAATTCGAGTGTCTTCAATTAACAAGGTTGACCCTGGTTGAGATGGAATGGTTCTTGAATGGCTCCTTTCACGAGATTTATGTTCTGATTCGAGTCAGACGTTGATATGCGACGAACAGACGATGATCGAAGATGATCGTGTTTCGTATTTCACCGTTAGAGGCCGCTGTCGAGATATCTCTCTATTTTATATTAATCGAAAGTGGTTATAGTTGGATGATAAATAGCAATTGTTGAAAGTTTTTTTGATTATTCATTCGTTTAATACAACAATATATATAGATTTTTAATAAACGTGTATTATATATGTATAATTAATTATTATAATTAGAAACAATTTAAAACATTTAAATAATTATAATAATAATAATTATTAATAATGAAATGTTAGAATATCTGCTGTTAAATACCGGTTCCTTGCGATAATCTGTAAAATGACAATTTAATTTTTTCAAGATACACAAAAATCATTCGCATAATCGCCACCGAATCTTTATCTCATAAAATTCGTAGATACCAGTAGTAGAGTGGCAGTTTTAAAAATACTTCTTGGCGACCCGGTTTTCTCGAGTTTGCAGGGTCTATCTGGCCGCTAAAACATTGACCAGTGTATAAAGATCCTTCACACGTTTCGACCTACTCTTTCTTCACGTCATCCTCAAACTCATTCTTTCAATATCTCTGTCACGTTCTCCATCTTTTTTCTCATTTATCAACAAAAATCTTATTGATGTGTTTTTCAATTTTCTACTATATTTTTGATGTTCTTGAAATTTGCATAACCTGGCGAAGGATACAGATAACAGAAATGATGAATATAAAAATAGAAGTTTATAAATAATCGCGAAAATTTTTACGTAGATTTACATTTCTCTTCGTTTCGTTGGTGAAAATTATAAAATTTTATTTTATTTTATAAGATTGTAATTAGTTAATACAAGTCAATTATAAACGCCACAGTGGTAAAATTCCCAAAATACATGCGTGATATGGAGACAAGGTCATCATGGAAATTGGTGGAAATGTAGTCGAATGTTAGTTGAAAGTTGGTTGTTTGAATGAAAATTGTTGATCTTGATGAATATTTGCTGGTTCTGATAATTAAAATAAATTGGAAATCTTAATCAAATAATATCATAATTTCATTTGAAAAATTAATCTTTAAAAATCATTCTTACTTTATATAAAATAAAATAATGTAATTTGATTTTTTAATTTTTTAAAGATCATTCTAATATTAGGAGGAGAATTATACTATGGATAAGAAAATTTGCCTTGATTTTCATTAAAAAAATTGATATATTCAATGTTATCAACCACGTAAGCATTTATTAATAAAAATAGTAACATATGAATTTTTTTCAAATATTAAGAAATATGTTTCATTAATAATATACTACATACTCCCATTTAAAAATTTTAGAAATTGATGATCAAAAATAATAATTCTAAAATTTTTACATAATCTAAATTATCAATACAGTAAGTATTAAATATTCAGATATAAAATTTCATATATAAAAAACACTAGTAGTAATTAATTATGAAAGTTACACGCATTTATCATGCTTCTGTTGAATATCACACTATTTTACAATATTTAACAGAAATATCATTGGATTTTAAATCTTAATTAAACAAATTGTATAATTGTAAAATTCTTCCTTTTTTTAAATATATCTTTATCAATTTTCAACATTATCTAGAAAAAATTGCTTCAAAAATTTTTCTAGAACATTAGAAAAATACAAATTATAACATACAATAGCAAGAATTCATTAAGACATCTCTGTATCTTTCAATTTTTTATCAATTATAATCCGAATCCTTACTATTCACTTGTATAACAATTTTCAGAAAAAACGTGAAAAAAGTTGCAATCTGTCCCGGAATTCCGAAAGCACGTAAAAGGATACGACGAGACGGGGGACAGCTTTTGCGCAACGTAATATTAGCGAAATTCCAGCCGTCTATTATCGACGGTCCCTACGAGAGCGTGGCTACGCCGCGTGTAGCAAAGAGAAGAGATCCGCGGCGAAATGCGTGCGTGCTCGGACAGAGAGGAGCAACGGAACGACGGGCGCCTTTATATTTAGAAGCCCGGGTCGCCGCCGTATAAGGTGGTGCTTCCCTCGTGCAAAAGTTCTCGCGTTTGTCCGCTCTCTCCGTCGCTATCTCCTCCGTGCTCTCTCCTTTCGTCCTTTCCACTTATCCACAGATGCCCCCACTCCCATCCTTTCTCTTTCTTACGTAGATATTCTTCCTAACCTTGCTTTTTCCTCATTCTTTATCCCGTATTTCTCATCTGTGCTGTTCTCTTCCTCGATCCTTTTATTCATTCGTTGCACCTTTCTCTGTATCGTTTAACGTTTCCTTTCCTTCTTTATATCGATTTATTGTTATTTATTCCCTCTGTGTTATTCATTCTGTCGGTGTTCTTTCCTTTTATCTCTGTGTTATAAATTTATGATCGTTGCTGTATTATTTTCTGTATTTCGCTAGAGATGATCCTATTATTGAAGTTTATGTGTTTATCGGATACGAATTATTCGATTTCTATATTATATGGATTCATATGCAGATTCACAAATCGATGATGTTGCCTGTAAATTGCCTGTTATTTGTTTGTTACAATGAAATTTGATGTTTTTCTTAAAAATTAATAGGAGGATGAAATTAAGAGATTTGGTGAAACATTGTTTCTCGTATTATGTATTTGAGACTCGTAATTATCTATTATTATGATATCTTTCGTTTGCAAATATTGTTTAAAGTATTATCTATTTTTATATATGTGTAGTACATCTGAAACACAAGTATTTTATTATCCTTTATGATTTCGTAAACTTTAGAGAACATTGGGGAATTTTTCTTCTTGACGTCAAGTGAAATTTTTGAGAATAGTTTAGGTTTTATTATTGAGACACAATGGAGCACAGAAAAATGTGTAAAAGAAGTTTTCATAGTCTATTTGAAATGTAGATCGAAACAAAGGAATAAGTGAAGCGTATAATTAGAAAGTAATTGAAATATATAAAATATAAAGGGGTACAAGAACAGGAAAAGTATCGATTCTAAAAACGAAGTTTACTAGCCAAATTGGCCGGTACACAATCTATAATAAGCTCGTAATCGTATGAGGTCACAATGCGTCTTGAACAGACATGTTTCACGTCATTATGATTTAGTATTTGGACAGGTTCCTGAACCTGTACTATGAGATATACTCCTTTCAGGGAAAATTACAATTACAATGCAGCCATTTTTTATATTTGGTTGCAATAATATTCGCATATATTTCGTTAAAACAATTCTCATACGTTTATAAAATTTATTTGATCAACAATGCATGTATTATCTTTTTTATATCTCTTTCCTATTACTTAGTGCTAATTAATTAATAATTAATCATTCCTTCATAAAATGAATATGCAATTTGATGTGTAGTTTCTCTTTATTATAAATTAGTACAAACCAATTTTATTTTCCTTTGTGGTGCATAAAGATCATTGTCGTGATTTAAAATAATGTTTGAACATTGACGAAACAAACTTTCCTTCGTCCCTCGTAAATTAAATGTTTTTAGAATAAATCTCTTTCGTATATATTTCAGTTTATCTAGGCGTTGCTTTCCAAATCAATAATTTTAAAACCATTATGATATTTCTGTAAAAATATTTGCATTAAATTATTTATGTTTATTAAAATATTTATTTGATAAAAATTCTTTAAGTATCATATTATTTTTTTACAGGCTCGAAAAATCGAAGAACACAAAAGAAAGAAGGAACGTAAAATACAAGAAAAATTAGAACGTGAGAGACAAGAAAGATTGAGAAAAGCTCGAGAGAGTGCAAAAATTTATGAAGAAAATACTCGTACCTCGCAAACTGATTCTAGCGGTGATACTGCTGGAATGGGTGACTTTTACAAATTTTTAAACGATCCAGATGTTCTCCAAGCTTTTATGGTAAATCTCTATTAATCATTCATTTCACTATCGTTTAAATATCGTTCAAATATTTATATATCATATATAAAATAAATTTTCATTTGTATATATATTTAAATTACAATTAATCGATTAATCGATATTGTATAAAATGCAAATCTACTTATCTATTTTATAATGTAAAATTCTTAATAACTAACTATTACATAAATATTTTATTATATATATATATTTTACATATTTACCGAGATAAATAGTAAAATTATCAGACATAAAACCACATGATCAAAATCTAGAAGAATTAAAATTAACTCAACAATTCTGAAATATATAATAAACAATTATTTTTCCTTTAATTTTCTTTATTAATTTATTCATAAAATTATTCATTGTGTGTATTCTATTGATACAACATATTAATAATAATCCACAATATTATGGTCATCATTCTCACATTACAAAAAAGATTATATTGCTCATATTATTACTTTTTATTTTTCAGGATCCTGAAGTAGCTGAAGCTTTTAAAGAAATTTCTACAAATCCGACAAATATTTTGAAATACCAAAGCAATCCGAAGATTATGGCATTTATTAATAAGATGGCTTCAAAATTCGGTGGAGCTGGTGGATTTCCTGGTATGATGGGTGGTATGCCTGGGTTCCCAGGTGCTGGCACACAAACTACTCCAAAACCAAAACCACAGGATGACGTTGGTCTTGATTAAATCTGATATGCTTTGTTATTGAAATTCCGTTTCAATTTATTCTCAAATAATTTACAAGGCTCTGAATACTTGTTCTAAAGTGATTGTTATGTCAAATGATGCGGTGTCTTATTAAAAAATACTAATGAATTAAGCGAGCTAGAATTTAGAAACATGTATATCTTCATTGTCATAATGATATTTTAAAAAAAAATTTATATATTTCAAAATCATCTTAAAAAAGGAGCATAATTATAAAGATCCTCTTTTATACAGTATTTCTCGTTTAAGGTTGAAATTTTTAATTCACTTGGTCATCAGTTCCTGGAACTGCTTCCATAGAATTAATGTTCATATTATTTTTGATCTGTGATCGACGGTATCTCGGAATAAGAGTTATCTAAAATATTAAAAATAATATTTCTTTTATTCTCTGATGCATCAAAAAATAAATAAATAGCAGAATGTCTAATTTCTAGAATGGTATTTCCCTTGGTAATTATACGATCTTCGATCGTAGTGGAGTAGGACTTAAATTAATAAATGACTAAATAACGGGGAATATTGTATATAATCCAAAGTTAGATTTGTATTTTAAATATGGAATATATCGATGCCTGTTATTCTTTAAACGTCCAATTGACTTCTTAAATAGTAATGGAATGATATTATATATTAATGAACAAAACAATTGATTTTAAATGAAGAAAGATTTCACTTTCTTATTTTTTATGCTTCTTTGTCAAATCTAAAATGTTTATTATATGATAATGCATTCTAGAATAGTGAGTAATATTAGAATTTATTTCTTTTAGGTTTATACGTGTGGATTTTTTCTTTTTTCTTTTTTTTTTCCATTCAATTTCTTATATATCTTCATTAATCATATGATAAAGCATTTGTTTGTTAATGAATTTTTAATTGTTTTCTATTACTTAATTTTATATTTGCTTCATATCACTAACTATATTAAATTTTTCATATATACAATAAGCATTTTGTTCAGTTTGCTTGACTCAATAGGGAACGAGTATGATTTTATACGATTACAATTTAGAAAAATCTCTAAATAATCTTTTTCTTTTTCAAAATCAAATAAATATATATATGAAATTAATTATTGATGCGAAAAATAATGTTACAATTTCATTAACTATGAAAAATATTATAAAAATTATCCTAAATTATACGTGTATATATATTATATATATATATGAAGAGACAAAGTTAAAAAAAAAAGAATGATTTTAATAAATTTGATAATATGAAGATGTATATTGTAAAATATCTCCTATGAATTGGTAATCTTTCTATGTGATTCATAAAAATTTTTCTAAAAATTAAATTTTTAAACAAATTTTATTAATTTGGTATGATACTTCTCATGTTTGTTTATTGTTTTTATTTAGAAATCTATTAATATTTAAAAAATATTCATTTATTCACCAACAAGAAAATCCTTTTTTATTATAATTTAATGAATATTGAACGAACAGTGTGAGTTGAGCAGCTAACGAATAATATATTGCTTCGAATATATTTCTGTTGAAATATAAACTGTTATATAAACGATGTATCGCGAATTCAATAAATGCATCATACAATTCTGTGTAAATATCAATTCTTATTTACCACAGAAAAATTGATAAAATACAAATTAATATGTACAAAAATATCATTTAATTAATAAAAATCACAAATACTTCAATTTAAAAAAAGAAAGACAACAAAACAAAAGAAAGGGAAAAAATAAAACAAAAGAGAACTGCATGATTGCGTCTCTGTATCCAGCAATAATAAGGGTAACGCAATCTCAATGGCTAATAATATAACAGTATTCATATGACTTGCACAATAAATAAATTCTTACACATAAATTCTTATAACGATAATATTGCACGTAAAATGAAAAGGTACTGTATTCTTAGGGATAATTTTTACTCGCTTTGATACTTCTATAATTATACTAGGAAGTAATTTTTAGCGTCCTCAAGGTAATTTCTTTCATAGTTTGAGCTATAATTTTTCGATAATTTCCGATTCATTTTAATTTACACATATTTTCCTTTGAATATCGATGAATTCTTAAATATATCAGTTTATTTATAAAAATAAATATCTATTTACATAGATACTATAACGCATTTTATACATTATTCATTCATACGAAAATACATAAAAATATTGAAATTGAAATCATATGTTCATAAACGCAGATTGTTGACTTTAATAACGTTATTTTTCTATATAAACTAAGTAAGCAAAATTAAAATATTAATCTTTTATTAAACTTTCTCATTTTTAAACTATTAAACTAGTCATCTTTCACTAAAATTTTAATATCAAACGGAATGAAAAATAAAAAATATTGTGACCTTAAAGACGCCAAAAGTGCAACCCGTAATAGGATAAATAATGCCTCATCATTACAATCTTTTGAAAAACAAGGATAAAAAAAAATAATGAGACGATCGATCAACTATATATCATTCTAACGTCCCACGTATAAGTCATTTTATCGTGCTAAGTTCTTCTGATTTTGAGCATGTGCAAGTTCGAATGCCATGGCACTTTCCTGAAAGTCGATATTTTCGTCTCATCAGGGGATGGAATTTCCTTGTCGATCTCAGCTATTGATGCTTTTTCTATCAATCTCAGACCAGTAATACCCGTATCGTAACTGAACATCCTACGATGTCGTTTGACATCTTGATTAGCGACGTTCCAATTTCTTGTACCCGGATCACTGACCACGCGTCGATGTTTCCTGTGATGATGATGATGACGACGACGATGATGATGATGATGATGGTGATGACGTTGCATTATTCTAGACGATCTTATAACATCTTCTGAATATTGCGGATCTACAGTAGATGTCGCGATATAAGATAAAGAGTTTGGATCAAAGTAGAGCCGATTGTCGACGAAAGGAACGAAACTCATCGAATTCGTCATCCATGAATTCGAATTAAATATTTTCTTTGGAGTTCTCTGAATCGTGGTGGACCATTCGTTGTCCTGTTGTAAATTAATGGTCACATTTCTGCGACAATAAGAGTCATGCGATCTTGGTTGTAATCTGTAAAATGTATTTTCAATTATGTCTATAAAATTTTAATTATTTTTTATGTAAATATCATTATGTACATCATATAAATATGAATAGCAAACCTCGAGGAACATAGCATTCTGTGTCGTCAGTTGAGCGGATGCTCTCCTCTTGGCATTCTATAACATTTATTCCACGCCTCTAATAACAACACACAACTATGGAATCGATAAAAAATCAATAAAGGTAACCCAATCCTGGATATGACGCCCCAGGCGAGTACTCCAAAAAATCTCAATTGCAGTTCTTGTGAGATCCAATTCTGTGTAACCACAGTATCGAAAGCCCATAATACAGAATTACTGAATAATAAAAATGTAATCACTTGTCTGGCTGGTTTCGCTATTATTTGGAAACGAGTTATACAAGATCTCTTAGATGCTTCAGCGATCAATGTGCTTTGAGCAAAACATTGGATTAATTGTAAAATCGATGCCGTAAGTAGCATAATATGCCTTCCTCGTGTTTCATTGCTTTCATTCTCTAGAATAACTAAGGAACAGGCAGAAACTACAATCGTGAAAATAGAATATAATTGAACTCCAAAGAGAGCCACGTTTGATAATAAACTATCTAAGATGGCTGGTGCTCTAATAACGACAGACATTTGACGAACTTGAATAAGCCCACTAGCTGTCATTAAGGTACTCAACGTTAAAATGCTAGTTAAAGTACCGCAAGTTAACCAGGATAAGGTTGACGATGGAAAATGTTGATCTTCTCTTACGACAAGGAATATCAATATTACTACTATGCCCGCGACCATACACAATATGCCTAAGAATAATCCTTTGCTCGAACCATCGCATCCAACTTTAGTGTGACTTGTCAAATCTTTGCTGCCATGAAACTTTTGCTTGTGTAATCGATTTCGACCGACGTTTTGACCCATTACAAAAGTCACTGCAGCAGCAATTAAACTAAAAGTATTAAAAGAAGTATGAAAATTTTTTTTTGAATAATTGGTATGTGAATTTTAAATTAAATAATATGTTATGCATAAAATTTACCTAAATTGTACAATAAACGGATAAAGAAATGGCATACTCGATGTCCACAATTGTCCAAGAGTATTAGTATTCAAGCACTCTTGTAAAGCAATTACTTGTGAGATTTGTTCATCCGAGATAGGTTGATATGGTTGAAAAACTTGTTTTTCTACTGGAGAATGATCTAAAAATGAAAAATAAATAAAAAATAAACTTATATATTAATTGAAATAAATAATATCTAAATAACACATTTATTTATTTATAATTTGATAACTTCGACACATATATTTATAATATTTTATCATGCATTAAAATCATTTTAATATATGAAATAAAACATACTTATCAAATCTCGAGTATGCCTTATCAAAGATTCTGGAAATCCTCGAAGATTCAATGGGGAAGCTGAATTGTGCAAACCACGTTGTGCCAAATGAACAAAATAAGTCCATTCTTGAGCAGAATCCCAAATAACTAATCGAAACCAAACAGCAATATTTGTAGCAGCCAAATGGATGAATCCGAATCTCGCTATCAAACCGAATCTTTCTACAAGAACCTAATAATAATAATAAATAAATATTCAAATCAATTCCATTAATTTTATTAATCTAAATGTTTTTATAATTTTATAATAAAAATAAAATGGTAGTAGAATACTACTCACTTGCGAATTCACGAAAAGAAAATGCATTTGAAGAAATGTAAATAATCCATGAAGTACCGGATGTACGAAGACAACATCGCTCAAACATTCTGTGCCTTGCATCATGGAATGCATCGCCATTTCTAAACCATTGAAAACGAGAGTCGCCAAACCGAAAACTGTTCAAATATATTCATGTTTTAATTCTGTTTTTTTTTTCGCTTTCTTCGCTCATATAAGATTATTACAAATTGAAATAACTGAAGAAACTCACGGAGCGCTCCAACTCGAATGTAAAAACTTGTTGAAGCTGTTCTAGATCGCGAGATGTGAGCACGTTTCAAAGATCCGAACCTGGTTAAGGATGTACCACCGAGTTCCGCATCGTCAACACCATTTGTACCGGTACCGAGACTTCCACAACTGTCTACCAATACCCAAATATAGATGCTGATAATCACTGCTATGCTTCCTACATATAAGTACATCAAAAATATGCCCTGAAAATAAAATAATAAAAAGAAAGAATAAATAAAATAATATAATAAAATAATGCAGTTTCATTTTCAAATTGTATTATAAAAAAAATTGTAAAAGCAAAAATATTTTTTGGAATATTTTATAGTATAAATCAAATATTATTGATAATGTATGGAAGTACTTTTTTTAATAGATATAAATTCAACTAGTAA